CAATGGCAACACCGTTGACGTATTCAGATGGTTCAGAGAAATGCTAGGGATGTGCCAGGGATTCCGTTTGTTCATAATTTGAAATCTGCTGTAAATAATATTTCCGATATTGAAGGATTATTCCATGAACGTATACTTATAAAATATCCCCCATACGGGTATGTAATAGCTCTTTCAGCAGTTTTGAAAGAATAAAGTTCAGAATATTAAAATCTAACACAAATTATGCTGTTGACAATGCTTTAAAAATTGTATTACATGAAAATGTAGATAAGATTATTCCAAATTCATGTTGTGTTGTGTTGAAAAACACAGCTGTCTCACTTCATTGAATGGCTTCTTGATAATTCTGAAACAAAACAGAAAACACTAATGTAATTCATAAATCTTTGTAAATAAGCTAGTTTGCTAAGTTCTATGCCTTTAATTTTTCGGCCTTTCATACTTTATATAACGGTGCCAACTACAAGGATTATAAAGGGGCTGAACCCAGACATGCAATTTTAAATAATCTACCAAGTAGATCATACCGATATGTTAAGTTCACAGCCTACTTGTAGCACTTTATGACTTATGACAGAGTCTCCTGAGCCTCTGCACCGCTTACAAGTCACAATACATCTCTCGTATACCATTACAGCTAGTGGCTTTATATTTTGTACTAATTTTTGACGAAATATCTCCGAAAGCATCGGCGTTGATAATCTGGATATTAACCATAACAAATGCCATATTTGATATTTTGGCATTTGAATAAAGATAGAGAATGTCGGCAAGCAGCACGTCACGTGATGCCGGTAATGCAGTTTCCTCGATTTTGCCGGGAAAGGATGACCTTGGCGTTGCCAGTTCGCCCATAAGAGGTTTCACCCCCCTGTTCTAGCCTTGGGCGCGGCGTGGTCGCGTAGTCGTTCCACCGTCCAGTAGAGGGCGAGATATCTCCCTGTCAGCAGTAACAGGGCTGGCTTAAGGAACAGGGTTTTGGCACCGTCGTCAAGTAAATTGCTTATTTGGAAGACGTTTGTTAAATAATAAGCATTCTCTAATTTTATCTATGTGTTCAAATAATTCATTAAGCTGGATTTTGTACAGCAACAGTGTTATTTCCAATAAAATGCTCAGTAATGGCGTCTTGTCAAGTTTGATCCATGCTTCGAGTAGGCCCAAATTCTTCTTTTTGGTTCCTCGAATTTGCGCCTATTTGATTGATAGAAATTGCATCAGCTTTAGCGTCCGGGCACAAATGAAAAATAGGTTTTTGTAGCTATAAGTATAATTTTCTCTACTCTGAGATAGATTTTTGATCTCACCATTAGGCGATGTCGAGATGACCAGAGTTAACGCTCCTAGACTTTTTTCTGAAAAAAATTGAGGGCAATTTGCCATCAAACATTTTTATAAACACATTGGATCTATTTCATATCATTATGAAGATAATGGAGAAATTAGTCGGCTTCAGATCTGTGTATATTGGCCACCATGTAAGTTAGATAGCAGGGCTATATGTGAAAGGGCTATGGCCCGCTGAATTAATTAGCCTTGGATTTTCTGTTAGTGACTGTTTGGATATAAATAGATTCCCAGTCTCCTTTTCAAAGTTGAGTCATTTATTTTAACAGCTCGTCGAACTCGTCAAAAGAAGTTGATATATACGTACAAAAAATCACCTAGATAAAAGTTACATAATGAAAAAGTTTACATTATTAAAAATTATTTAAAAAAGATCATTATCAAATTAAATGGATACCATTCTCACAAAAACTGTCCTCATTTGTTTGATTAACGCAACATCTTGCTCGGCGAATCCACGACTTTTTACAAGCTTCGAAAATAAAATCCTGGTGTCCACGAATCAAATCACAAGCATTTTCAGCGCGCTGTTGTAGTTCTTCCAGGGTATTTACTGCTCCACCATGATACACCAACTCTTTCAAATAGCCCCAGAAAAAATCGCAAGTCGTTAAATCCGGGGAGCGAGCACGTCAAGAAATGGGTCCATGCGCCCCATCCATCTATTCGGAAACTCATTATTTAGATGTCTATGAACTTTCACCTGTTCTGTCTCACATTTAGAGGAACATCTTCTACTAATTGTGGCAGATTGTGTAGAAGAAAATCCCAAAAAATTTCATCGGTCCATCGGTATGGTCCAATAAACATGCCATTTATCACGCAATTCCAAACATTTAATGAAAAGCTATGTTGAAAATAAGTTCCTTTTACAGCCTGTGGATTTTCTACAACACAAACATGATTTTTGTGGAAGTTGTGAACTCCGTTTCGTGTAAATGTGGCCTCCTTTCATAAAGTCTTAATCTCGGCCGAACTGTTCTAAAAACCACTGGCAAAATGCAACTCTTCTAGGATGATCTTCAGGTTGTGTCGATAATACTGTTCTTGTCGTATTGTCTTCCACACTTCAGTATGAGAAACTTCTATTTGAGCCGCTATGGCTCTAGTACTCATTGTTGGGTCGTCTTCGACCATTTCTAAAATGTCGTCTTCAATTTGTAACATTTCAGGTTCGGCAGGTCTTCCAGCGTGACCTCCTCGTTGTTCTTTTAAATATCCTGTGCCATGAAGTCTAATAACTAAATTTACAAACATCCGTCGAGCCGGATGATCACTTAAAGGAAACCTTTCCGCATACAACCTGCATGCTGCGGCTGCATTTTGTTGGTACTCTCCGTATGTTAGTATTATGCCAACTAGTTCATTGTTTTCGTAAACATAGGCCATTTTTCCGCACAAATTAATCAGAAAAATGAAAGCATACGCACTATCAAAGGGCTGATACAACTGATCGGACCAACGACTAGTACTGAAAACCATACAATAACACAAAAAGTTTGCCAAATTTAGATAAACAATAAGAGTAGTAAACAAAAAAAAAACAGTACAGAATCTCATATTCAATAGATACAGAAACCGAAGAATCTAGGCACTTGAATATAATATTAAACTGTTTCAATATGTGGTTATCAAAACGATTTTTAATATTATATTCAAACATGCAAAGTAAGCGTTAGTTCATATTTGTACAATAATCTGAGAAAGTAACTATATTTTGCAACCTAGATACTTCTGATGTACATAGTATTCGCATGTAGGTATTTATCTAGGCATTACGCATATAGAGCAGTAAATGTTATGTATCTCCATGATCACTAGAAAACTATATGGAATTTGTTTATTTTCCCACCAAACTGGCCGTGTATACATTTTGATAAGTCATGAATAATACAGTTTTTCTGTAAATTATATGCAGGGTATAAGTGTTAAAAATATATTCTATTCAAATAATAAATACGACTTTCTGCGGTATTTGTACAAATGAAATGTCGATCACTAGCAGATTTTACGATCAGTAATTTGGTCAATAAGGTGGTTGATTTCAAAACCTCATCGAAAGTTTTTGAAATATTTTTTTATATCGTACGCTAACCGGCGAGGAAGTATTGAAATCGAAAAAATATCGAAATAGATACATATATTATGGTTTTTGGATTTTATACATGTACATGTCACTCATTTTCGTTGGTCTATCTGTCTGTCTAACTTGAGAAGTGCCGCTAGCATTTTGATAGAAGCTAAGGGCATAACACGAAAAAAATAAAAAGCGCTAAAACCTCGTGTTTTGAGCTTTCAGAGTCTAATCATCATTTTAGGAAATAATTTTGTATGTGTTGAAATTTGGGGATTGGGTATTGTAGGGTGTAGGGGGTTGTAAATGTTACATATTTAATATTAGTCAAAGACTATCTATCTGAGAAGCTTCTGTAATAACGGGAAAATTACATGATTTAGTCCAATTCATAATGTGCTCATAATTCGAAATAACTTGCAATTGTTGACATTGCATGCACGGCGAGATTCTGCATTGTATTGGCGGCCACTGCCGACTGTGAAATATATATCAAACTTCAAAGGATGAATTTGCGATGATGTCGTCACTGATATACCGCTACGGGAGTATATTTATATCTTAGCAATATTTGGATATTAGGAGTACACACCATTTTATCGTTCTGCGATGCTTGTGTAAATGATGACTTAACTGTATTTACATATATATTTTTCTGAATTGCTTGATCCTTAAATGTACCACCCTTTTTGCCTAACATTTAATTTGTCTTTCTTCGTATATGTGTTCTCTGAAGAAAAAAAAGTAGATTGACTCAGTAGTTTCGATGCATTGATATACTACAGACGCGGACTGGCAAACCAAGATTAATGAGAAACACGGACTTGTGTGATGCTGATATCTCAATGGAACAGAAATCTTGTAAACTGAAGTTCGAATATTATCGCGAGCTTAATACTTAGGTACATACCCGACGTATCGTGGTGGTATGCTGAAATTCCGGATGCTGATGACATAAAAAAGGCACCTAGCACATTGTGATACAATTGTAAGATATTTAGGTTTGAAAACCACTCTACTAAGTGGTTTAATCACTGCTTTCAAGTGGAAAGGTATCCCAGCTAAAAATCTTTCCAAGAACAAATGTCGTCGAAGTGGGAAATGCATCACCATTCAGCCCACGTCCGTGGCACGTCGTCAATATGGGACTAAAAACGAGTCGCTGTTGGCAGCACATCAGAAGGCATAAAGAAAAGAAATACCAAGTCTCCAACATTGTCTGAAAACATGTGTTGCGAAAGATATATCTTTGGGCATCAATATGTCCAAAAAACAGAACAGCAGCACGGACGGCTTTAAGCGTCACATGTTGTTTGAGGTTAATGTCTTAAAAATGTTGTTTATAATGTTGGGTTTGATTGAGTTTTTATCTGAAAATATTTTATGGCGCAGAATGGTTCGTTTATTTAAATCAAAGTATACATTTCTATGTTATCAACTTATTTTCTTTTATTTTGCTGTTCAGCTGCAGTTCTACCTATTCCTCTGATTCTGAAGTATATGAAGCAGATCTTGTAATCTGCTATGAATCATGACCTTGCACTTATTGCATATTTTGCCTACGTAAACGACTTACTTCCAGTATTTATGAAGTGGGTACTTACTACTAGTAGGTACTATAAAAAAATAACGAATATTTTTTTTCATTTTTATTATATTACCTAAAATCTACTAATAATACGCCACAGTAGCAAAGTGTATTCCCATTGTAAAGATTATGGTAAAGGAAATCTAAAGGAACAAATAAATAACCATTTTGTTTCATTGAGTTGTTATACTATTAAATAAATAATAATGAATTAGTCTGATACGTCAGGTGAGGTATAATACCTTTATGAATGAAGCTTCTTCGAGTGGATAACGCGTCGGGTACATAAGTCCGATACGTCTGGCATAACATATGAAGCTACTTCGAGCATACCTATAACGCCTGGAATACACTTGCGCCGAGGCAAGCCGCGCACCGAACAAGGCAGCCTCGGCGCGCCGCGATGCGCTAGTGTGTATGGCGCGCCAACACAGCTGCGCACAGGCTCGGTTTGCCTCATGCGGTGCGTGACCCGAGCCATCGGCTGTCGGTCCATCAAAGTGAGCACCGGCCGAGACGTTTATGGAATTTTCGATCAGCATTTGCCTCAGAACGAATATAGAGCCGCGCCAGTAGGCTATTTTTGGTTATTTACAAATTGTGTTATTAGTTATTAATTTCATTTTTCAATGCTCAACTCCGATCTGAAAGATAAATTATTAATTTAAATTATTATTTCAATTACTGTACCACAGAGTCAGACATTTACGAATGTGCGTGCGATACATAGGCCGACTAATAACTGTTCTTGTAGTCGACAGTTAACTACCATTAAAGGACTACAAAATTATCTGGGAAGATGTCCTCAGTCGCCCAGACATGACGGATTGGTATAAGCGCAGCTTTTGTGACAGGAAATTCCAATCTTATCCTGGCACAAACTTAGAAAACCCATTCTATCTAGTACAACAGGTTAGGAGGCTTGCCACTAGAGAGCCTGATGGAATTTTCGCACCTATTAGCCATATTTCACACATGATTCCCCATACAATTGTCTTTAAATCTAAAATAGAGAAATCTTTTCGATACGACGCTCCATGCTGATGAGTTGCCGAAAAAAAAGCGAAACAGCTATCTGTGATTGTCTGTCTTTGCTTTGACGGACGAAAACAGCATGTGCAAGTTAGACCGTCTAAGAAAAAAATTAGTTGCAAACATGTATGACAGAGAAATAAAACGGATCAAGTTCGTCAAACAGGTCCGTACAATTGGTCCATAACATCATTTTCCTGTCCTACCCTTACTACTGTTCATCTGGCAATGTTGCGTTGCCTATCTCCAATGTCTGAAAGCATTATCCGTTACACACGGCAGAGCGCCCACTATAGAGCACCAGTCATGCAGGACAGAGACGAACACCAGCACGCCGGCCGCGGACATTCACAGACAAGTCAGCAGATGCAGGGACGCTTGTCGAAACCATTTTTCTATCGTTCTAAGTTTTAAGGGCAAATGTACGGAACAATTTATGATGTGTGAAACATGTCTAATAGGTACGTAGAATTACCGGGGTTGGAAGTGTATTAATATACTGACATCAAAAAATTGCGATACCAGTAGGCGATAAAAAAATTGACAAAAAATCCAAATCTATCAATCCATTTGATTAATAAGTACAACACTGACTTTTTTGTACATATTCGAACGCTGGAATGCTTCAATATTGTTGTTATAAATGGTATTGATGATAACAGAATTCAAGAATGACTCTACACTTCCTAGCCCCCCGAGAAAAACATTAGTCACAAACATGTGTAATAGAGAAATTAAGCCGATCAGGTCAGTTGTTTGACTGACCCATATAACTGGTCCCTGCAATACTGGTAGTTACCATCCATCTGGCAACGTTACCTCTTCGAAGCACCGACGCAATACGAGCAAAACAAACAAGCAGATAGTTACGCCGGGCGCTGAGACCAGATAGCAGAAGCAGAGAGCCATATCAAAAACATTTATCTATCAAGTTTTAACGACAAATGTATGGGAAAACCAATATGATGTGTGAAATATGGCTAATTGATGCGTAGACCGGCGTGGATATTATTTAAAAAAAAAACTAAAAAACGTAAAAAGCGACAAAATGTTATCTTACAGACCAGGTAGTTTTTAGGGTGCAAATAGTTAATTTCACGTTTGCTCGCTATGATCACTGTGACTTTATTGGAAGTTCAATAACTCCCTATTATTAGCACACAAATCATCATTATGCACTGCCATTTCATTCCAGCTATGGTATACAACTTACAGCTTGGATCTCCAATAGTAATGCCATCTCTGAAGCATATCTTACATCACATCAGAGCTAAACACTGATAACTGAAGCCTCATGACGTTTAGGCAACACGAACAACGACAAAACGAGTTCACAACAAGTGTCCATCAGCTAGTGCTAAGTCAGCAAAAAACCTACATTAAGTCTAAAAATACCTACGTTATGCCAAAAAACAGACTTTTTAAGATACGTAATACCCGAGCGGGGCTGGGAGTGTATAAATAAAATAATATACAAAAATTGAGATATACCTTCCCCCACCTCCAAATTACCATACCTCCTTCCTTCTGTCCAGTGGTGTAGAAAGTCAAAAAGTTCAGCACGGGATGTTTTAACCGTCAGGCTAGTTTCAAGGTACTAAGTACTAACTTTAATATTGTGCAAAATTTCGTCAAAATCCGTTAAATATTGCCTAGTGATAATAAATATTTGGGGTATCCGATACCTGAAAAATGAATTTAGAATTTTTTCAGATATTAAAAGGTCTCTAGGATCCATACTGTACCTAGCACCTACCACTTTACCATGTGCACCTCCTCAATATCATCGGTACGCATCAGTGGTTACTACATTTCCGTGTCCCAATCCCAATGGAACACCCAGTATTTGAAAAATCACTTCATTTTGTTTTGACATCTGTAGGAAGTGCATAGGTATCATAAAGGATGTTTTCGCGAGTCCTCGGTGTGGTCATAGATTATACAGATGCGACACCTGCTATCGGTTCCTTTGATCATCCTGTCCCCCAACTGCTTACCACATTTCCCGCTTATGTTCAATTCCGCCCCGAGGATTTTTTCCTAGGGGGTTGATACGCGTTAGTAGCAAGACGTTACGAATGTCATATGTCAAACAACATAATCAAGAAATTTATTTGTGCTCATTTACCCACATGCATTTTGCCGAGATAACAATTATTATTTCTTGAAAAGCTATTTATATATTTAGGTATATATAGTATTTATAGAGCTCAATATGTTTCATAGCCCCTAAATCCTAAATGTCATTTCAACACGAATCCCACCAAATGCATAGGACTTTGTTGGCGTTGATAGAACCTGATTTTTGACAGAGTCTCGCCTCTGTATAATGTGTGTACCCACATAACACCTACTTTATAAGGGAAAGTTAAATGAGTGACTTTGACGGTACGTTTTGTAGGCAACCAGATATTCTTATATACTTAGTATGGAGTATAACAACAGAGTGGCGCTGATACTAGGTTTTCCGTTCTTTTTGACAGTTCAATGCTTTGACGTTGATATACGTTGATTATAAAGTTGAATCGTGTACGGCGCCGGCGTTTTATTAGTTCTGTGTGGGTGATACCGATATTCATTGAGCCTTAACTGAATTTCAATTCACAAACTTACTTTTTGTAATTAAGGCTTATCGAAAACGGGGATTTAAAAAGTGCGTGTTGCCTGGTTGTACTGATACCATCAGTAAAAGGCATTTCCAAAATATGATGCACTTTTCAACAAGTGGATCAAGCAAATCCAATTTTGGACAATAAAAATCACGAACAAATTTATAAAAGCTATTTGGTGTGTGACTTACATTTTTCGAAAAGTGATAAAGTGCCGGGATCCAAGAGAGGTGTGAAAAGAACAGGTTTTCCTACATTCATCTTCAAGTAAGTAATAACTTTGTTTATTACGTATATATAAAAAAAAAAATTGCTAATCCGTTGGCTGCAAAAATGAGAGAGACCCTTAAAACAATTATATTGAAGAGTTCTTAAGAGACACCAAGTTGGTCCAAGAAAACATTATTTATGAAGAAGGTAAGTTTAAAAATAGTTATTTTACTTTAGATAGTGACAGATTTATAAATATTAGAAACTTGTTCTAAATGTACATTAATAAAGTGAGAGCTATAATATGTATGTATAATTACTTCAACTATTAGTTGACATATTTAAAAAAAATAACTTTCAGGTAACCAGGACGGCTCAGCAACAATGAAGTGTAACATCTAAAGTACTACTGAATATACTCACACAAGTCCTAAAACAAAAACTTCTGTATTAGGAAAATGTTTAGTAAATATTGAACATCCCTCAGAACATCCAAGACCAGGCTCATCTAAAGACTTGAATTCTACTCCCCCAAAACATTTAAGATGTAAGTATGTTTCAGGATATATTTTGCAAGTATTTAGTTTAAAAAAACTTAATTTAAGTCAATCAAATAAATTTTCAAACTTGTATGTGTAAAATAATATTCAAATATTTGTAACATATGTGGTTTTCAACTCCTTTTATTTTTATTTTTTTTATTCATAGGTGAAAGCTGGGCTGAAAGCTATAGCCCAAAAGCAGGATTATCTGAAGACATCAAGTTAACTACTCCTTCTAGAAGTTCAGCAACTGCTAGAGGTACCTAGCTATTTTTATTTTTTATTCAAGGTACTTTCAGTATATTCCTTTTTTGAAAAAGCTCAGACACGTTGAAATTTATTTTTGTTTTTGTTAAGAATATTTCAATTTTATTTTTAGTAACTTAATACTTAATTAAAAATTTTCCTATTTTTACTTTTATAAATTAATTAGGGTAGGGTGGGCACATTGAGACATGGGCAACGATCTTTATATTTTCAGTCGTTTACGCGATAGCCATCTATCGGTCGCATAATATAATATTCTGTATGCGCATGACCTGAATATACATTTTTTCGCGCCGCTGCGCTGGATCAGTCGCAGATCAGTCGTCTTCTAGATTTTATGGGAAGTGCACGTGGCGAGGTCGATTTTTTTTCATGTATTGTTTTGATAAGTTTTTTTTGAGTGATCTATAAATCCTAAAGGTAAGACAGTTATATGCATTTGTAAATTGACCTTTTAGCTAGTTTTTAAATGTAACTCTCAAAAGACAACTTTAGTTTTACTGTATAAGAATAATATTTTTTCCTAAATATACAAATGGGCCACAATAAGACAATTTTTTTGGGCCAGAGAGACAGTGTCTCATGGTGGCCCAGAATGTAGTAGTGTATAACCTAGTGTGTACTACTGCTAGCAAATTGTTTTACCTTTGCAGATGTCAAGAGGACGAACAAGAAAGAGCCAAAAAGGAACCTTTAAAGAAGAAAATATGAAAAGAGCGGTTCAGCAAGTTTTAGTAGGAATAAATGGAGAAAGCTGCAAAAGAAAACAATTTATCGTTTCAAACGTTGCAAAGGTATGTTAAAAAAGAACAAAATAAAGCCAATCCCAATCACGTTGTTTCCATGAAAAGCAATAATAAGCATCGCCTGGTTTTTAATGAAGAGGAAGGGAAGGATTTAGTCAATTACATTATTAAATGTTATGGGAAAACTACAAAAGATAACCGTGTTTTGGCATATGAGATGGCCCAAATTAATAAAAAAAACATTCCGTTATCTTGGGATAAGAATAAATTTGCTGGTATCGACTAGTTACAGGGTTTTTTAAAAAGACATGCAAAAGAATTAAGCATACGTCAACCAGAAGCTCTTTCAAGAGCAACTGCGTTTAATAAACATAATACAAATTTATTTTTTTACAAACTTGAAAAAGCGTATAGTCGGTCTGAGAAGTTTTCTGATGGTACACGAATTTATATCCTAGACGAAACTGGAACAACAACTGTTCAAAAACCAAAAAAAGTTCTGTCGTCGAAAGGTATCAAACAAGTAAGTCAATGTACTAGTGGGGAACGAGGAGTTTTGATTACAACATGTTGCATAATAAGTGCTACTGGTAATATACTGCCCCCAATAATGGTGTTCCCCAGAAAAAAGTTTAAAAATAATATATTAAACGGGGCACCGGCAGGAGCATAAGGACTGGCTTCTACTTCAGGTTGGATGAACTCCGAATTATTTCCGTCTGTTATGGAACGTTTTATTAGATATGGTGGGTCCTCCAAAAAAAATCCCACTATTTTAATCATGGACAATCATGAGAGCCACCTTGGGAGTAAAACTCTGAATTTGGCTAAGGACAATGGAGTCATTCCAGTCACACATCCACCACATTGTAGTCATAGACTGCAGCCACTGGACATATCAGTATTTGCGCCATTTAAGGCGAATTATAATACTGCAGTTGTCTCTTGGCTTTTGCATGATCCGGGTAATCCGTTATCCATTTACGAAATTGCTGCTTGTGTTGGAATAGCATTCGAACGATCTATGACTCCGTCCAATATAAAATCAGGCTTCAAGAAGGCCGGAATTTACCCTTTCGACAAAAATGTCTTTACGGACGACGATTTCCTGTTACCGATAGGGAATTTTTAAATTTTAACAATAAAAAAGTTTCCACCGTGGATGAAAATACTTCATCTACATCATCTAAAGTAGCTCAGACAGTTACCAACGATACCTACACTTAATGATCAGTCACTAAAATTGAAATTGTTTATAAGCCCAGAAATATTTGAGGGATACCCAAAATCAGGAATGAGAAAGGTTTCTAATAGTCAGCGTAGAAAAATTACCAGCTGCATTCCCACTGATACGCCTGAAAAAAAATACCAGGAAAACATTGAAAAAGACAAATTAAAAAGAAAACACAAGGATGACAAACAAAAAGCTGCCACCCGGAATTTATTTGCAAAAAAAATAAGGTTGATTTCAATGATATATATCTTCGTCTGAGAAAGATGGAAGTTTATCTTTTGCCGACCAGGATTCAACAGACTGGATTCCCGAGGCTGATCCTTCAGCATTTGAAGAACTGGATCGAAATCCCAAACCTAACGACTTTGTATTAGTGTCATTTAGTGCCAAAAATGATAATATATTATATGTTGGAAAAGTGGTAAATCTGGAAAGTTCCAGCAATGAAGTAGAAGTTTTTGCGGAAGTCGGTAAAATTCAGCGGACACTTCGAATATCCTTTGGAACCTGATGTAGGAATGGTTCCTTTAAATGACGTTAAAATGATTTTACCACCACCATCTCATTTGGGTAAAACAAAACGTTTACAGGAATATCTAAAATTCGAAATTCAGTTTAGCAATATAAATTTACGCAAAATTTTTTTTACCAAGAAAAATAAATGGATGTTTGATTTTTGGCATATTTTACATTGACAAATCTTATATTTTTGGTTTTTTTCGTTTAAGTACATATTTTTAGTTGTCAAAACCGCCATTTAATAAAGTTTTGTAGCAAACATGTTGTTTTTTTCACATATGTCTTATGTCTTATGGTAGCCCACTTTTCTGGGCCTCCATGATACATTATTAAAAAAAGAATGTTGTAAAATTCACTCGCAAAACTATTAATATAAAATTTTTTTTTATGTTTTGTTTTAAGATTAACATGATTATAAATATCATTCTTTAAAATCTAACATTTACACAAAACTATTTTTTTTTAATTTTAAAAAACTTTTTCCGTCTCATGGTGGCCCACCCTCCCCTACTCATTTGTTCTCAAGAAGATTGTTATTTTATACTTTGCATAGGTACTACCACCTGCAGAAAACACATGGACATCGCATATCTCCTGAACTAAGGATGACCTTATCTTATAAAGAGATAACAAGGCGCTGTCACACTGATAAGAAATCCCTGGCAATGCATGCCTGATAACAATAGGATGCTGCTCAAGTACTACTGCTCGGTAATACCGACTACTTTTAGTTTCCTAACAACTTGCATAACTGTTATTTTTATGTATTGTATTAAAAAATACACATTTTAAAAATATAATCATGTTGAGCGTTATTTTACCTAAAATACCTTATATATAATTTGAATATCTGATTCAAATTTAGCGCCACAGTGTAAAAGGGAAGTCCAAAGATGGCGCTAGGTATTCGATATTTTTGAAGGGTTCTATAACAGTTCGTATAGGTTCTATAAAAAGTTCGGAGAATGTCCCTGAGATGGCGCTACAAACTTAGTGATAAACCTTAGCATTATAGATTCCCTTATAAAGTAGGTGTTATGTGGGTGTACGTGTACCACAGTGCACTACTGGGAACTGATACTCAAATTTTCGCGAAGAACGGGAATACGGGAAGACGGATGACACGTCATCTGAATGTCAAAAAATCACGTAGTGGGGTTAACCGTAGATACTAGCGGATGACAGGTCTTATGTCAATGTCATTTAAAAAACAATGGAAAATTTACATTCCCAATGCCGAAAATTGAGTTAAATTATTAAATCATAAATGGAGGAACAGGTCCACCTGATTTTAAATGACGAGGGAGAAGGTCGTCGAAGATATAAGAACCGCACTTGTCATATCAAATGGTTGATTTTATTGATATGTACATTGCACAAAAAACGACCGGTCTTTTTATTTCATAGAAGGCATATAGTATATCAAGGAGCTTAAAGCAAACATTTTGCGGAACATGCGGCATCTAACCACTCGCAGTGTAACTTGAAACTGTCAAAACTTCGAGAGGAAGGGGAAAAAGCTGTTCCCGCTTCAATCCCTACGAGGACTCGCAAAAAAATCTCTATAGTAAGGAATAAGTTATCTGGGTACAGTTTCCTTTGTGAAATAATAATCTAGTTTATCACCTATACAAAAATTAGTGGACACTCATTCACAAACCTTATTCGCTGAGTTACCTGCGCAAACAGCAAGTATCACGTTACACACTTACAACCATCAATCGAGAGATGGCAGCATAGTGTTAACTAACAAACGCTTTCTCTAGATCATACGGGTCATATACGCAGTTGTCATATTTCCATATTTATCTGTACATTGCAAAAAGTTTGCGATTGCACATATTGTATGATTGAAACATATACATACTCGTTATCTGTCAAAGATATGCACGATCACAAAATTAACTTCTAAAAAAATGTGTCTTATGGTTAAAAAAGGCCACACAGAAACCTTGATTGGATGGCTTTCAACATTTTTTTAAAATCAGTATGTTATAGATCTCAACAAGTGTCTATAGACCCTATGCTTTTCCCACGGGATATTTCTGAGATACAGGGCCTCCAAGTGGGCATTCCACGCCCTGAGTAGGTACCTACTTATGTATTTGTGGGTTTGGTAGGTACAGGAATTCTAAAAGTATCACTAGGGTGTGAGCTACATGACGTATACTGCACATACCACTACTTCACGACAATCACAGCAAACAAGCAAATAATGTTTTTGGTCACTACTGGTTCGAACCTAAAACCATCAAACACATGACATCTCGTGTGGGAGCGCAGCGAACCATGCTTCCAACGTTGTAACGTCCTTCGACGCAAGTCACATTTACCGACAAGAGTCCGGAGTCCGAACGTGCCTTGTGGTGAACTTTGGACACATCTAATCAGTCAGCCCTCTCCCACCCGATGTGACGAATGGCCATGTGTCCAACGTTGTAAGTTATTCGCCACATCGAAAATTTAGATGAGCGACGTGGCAACATCGATAGCTGTTATGTCAGCCTGTCAGCCAAATTGTTGGTGGATAATATTGTCGTTTGCGTTTGCGGAGTCCCGTATTCGTCGGAACTGTTGTGGTGGGAATCAAGAATTTAAACATTTTATCATTTCATATCAAACCAGATAGAACCTTCAAGGTCACACATTGACTTTGTTATTGTCTATAGTGCGCGCTGAACGAAAACACAACTAAACGTATTTTATTAGTGCACCAAAAAATAGAAGAAAGATGCGGTTAACGCCGAGGTATTTTCAAAATATGTCCAAAATGCTGGACTTCTATTCCCAGTTCAATCCATCGCCGTTATCGATAAAGAAGTTCATCGATTTTGGTAAGTTTGTGTTACAATTTAACTGGCTTTAAACCTTGCCTCTGTTTTTCAAGTCAGCATTTGGATTTGTCCTAGGTCAGACACCCTGGTTAAAAATCGATTTTCCAAATTGCACTGCTTGTGCTTGTATTTATTTCGTCGAAAAAAGCAAATCCAACATGATTAATGGACTTGATTCCATGTCTTTTTACCCTTTCATTACTTACTTTGTTTAAAATACACCCATACAGCTGTACCAACTACCAGGTATGGAGTGCTATAATAGTCCTGGAAGATCCATTATAAAGATCACCTGTATCTCAAAAATGCATCCTATAGAATTTAGATTATTAAGAAGGAGAAGAAATCAGCTTAATTCAATAAATCATCAGCAGATGTCATAGAATGTGCCTAATGGTAGTACTTATTTGAAAATTGATGTGAAGTCGTTTATTAGTTCTACATTGGTTGTTGGCTTATTGTTCATATGCACAGTTTCTGGTGGTTGGCAAGTAATTGACACTTCAAATAATGATTAGATAATATAAACAAAACAACAACCCTGTAGGTGACCTGGGGCCTGATTTTGAGCAGAGAAATTGAGAAATTAATTTCGATGGTGTTCTGTGATGATATACTTGATTGGCTATCTTAATTTTGGCAAGTGATTATATTGATCTTCTATATTCAAATCATCATGGCAGTGTCAAAATTATCATGGCAAGTTAAGTGTATTGTCACAAGATGCTATTGAAACTCATTTAGAATCAGGCCCTTGGATGGCTCATTACCAGTTCATCATCGGAAAATGGCACAGGATCAGTATTTATTGAGATCCATCAGTAGTAATCATGCAATGTGATTTTTATTCAATGCACAGCCAGGTTGTCAGTAATTTTATTGATGTAACTGTTGGTAGGGACCACAGTAAATACTAATTGTATGTAACTTGCCTTACATAATTATTCACCTTTCTGATATATACCATGTTCATCCATAATGAGAGATCCCAATAAATACCTTACTGATTTTAATATATTCTAGCCATATATTTACTAATACATATTTCTATATATGATTACATTAAAATATTATACCAAAATTAAATATTTATTATACCAAAAAATCTGGGTTTTTTTCAACTTGGCTGGGTTATGTTTTTACCATCTTTTTTCAATAATTTATCATTTATACATTACAGTGCCCTTTGCAATATTATTTTTTTTAAACTTATTTCACTCAATTCACTTATGCAGTAAAACTCTTATTCTTGTATCTCTTAAATGTTGACATGTGTTATATTTATCATATCTGTGAGTCATCAATAATCAAAATACATTATTGTGAAATACCTAAAGAAAATAAAAATTGCATTCTTTTGAAGTAGATCACTTATTAAGTATATGACATCCTCAGATAACTGGGAGTATAGTAAGTTGTAGTCACTGTTCTTGGTGGTTACATCATCAACACCATAAATATGAAATAAGTAAACAGATCAAGACTCTCTACCAGGATAACTTAAATTGCATGCCTATGTCAATTAAGTTGTCACTCTGACAAATATGATTGAAGGGCACTGAGACATAACGTCAATGTTTTCGAGAAGGAGTCACACAACTAAAAAAGGTATGTCTTTGAGCTTACTGAACAAACGTTCACACACAGGGGTAGGTTGCCTGTGTATATATGAGGGAGAGATATAATGGGATACTGGTTGTCTTACTTTGACCCTCCAAAAACGGTGACTACAACTATAATCACCTAGCTTCCAAACAATGAAATGCTAATTATGCTTTCACCTGGCGACATCTCAGACAGGCTGTCACCTGATGTTTACTCCATCTCCTCTGTTATCACTGTGACCTTCAGAGCTCTGATTCAATAGTGACTGAATATTGGACTGTACAGATATGTATTAAGGAAGAGATGGGGAGACTACATCACAGGAGTACATTTTCTCTTAGATTTTTGTAGTTCGCCTTAAACATGTAATGTATGTACACTATAGAACTCCAAAACATCAAATACAATCAGTAATAACAACCTGCAGATAGCAATAACCATCCATTTTGACTAGAAATATTTTTTTATACTTGACCCAAAGGCCTAAATACCCATCTGGTTAAAAAGAAAGTTCTTTGAGTCCCCAAAGAAGCCTTCTTGGATAGAGCATCTTGAAATGTTTACTCATACCAGTCAATAGTCTAGGTTGACCAAATGTTTGAATTTTCCAAGTGGGAGAATCCTATTTCCATATGGGTGGTTGTACTTAAATACGTCTATTTATTTAACTGGTGTGCTGTATATTGCGGTGTACCAATTTATGACGTAATTTACATACGAACTTTGCAAAAAAATACACTGCAGATTTTTAAGTTTTGAAATCCACGCTTTCAAATGCAACGGATACATAATAGGATACTCGAGAGAACGCTTGTTTAAAATCCACGTCCCATAACGAAACACAAATATTACGATGTAAGTTATTTCACCAAGATTAAACTTCGGATGCCAAATTCACAGATTAGTTCAGCAAGGTTAAATATTTTCGGAGCCTGACTTGGACGCGAGACTAGCATGTCTGGTATCCCAGGAATTGGACAGTGAAGCAGTGTCCAATCAAACTTCCCGTTTCGGCCAATTTCTGCCTAAAACCCAAGATTCGGTTTCGGCAGAAAATCCGCCGAAATTACAACCAAAAGTACATTTGTAAGTTTTCGGGCGCTTTGGAACTCCTAAATACACGTTTTCTTGTTTGTATTTTTTTGTGAGCAAATATTATTTTTTGTATTTATTGATACGCTAAATTTCTGTTAAATTTATTTCATTCTCAATTTTAACTTTTTACAGTTGTTTGGACTCACGTTAGCTAGACGCTTCAGCTTTAAGTGCATATTCGGTTTCTTGTTGGTATACTCCAGGCGCTGAAGAAAGAAACTAAACCCAAACAAATACACGCATATTGCTCGTGAGTGAGTGTTTAGGCGCAGGAGACATTACAGGACCGCATCAAGATATTATGGGTAGTCATCAAAAATTTCATACAAGATAATTATTATCTTTTACAGTAAATTTCAGTTAGAGATTCACAAATGAGTTAACTACACTTTTTAGTTATTAGTAAGTAAGCTGCGCGCACTCATTCAGAAGAGGAACTTGAATCTTCTGAATCGTTTAAATGAATTATTAGAGGTTCAATTTGGGTATCGATGACATTGTCCAAATCCCACATTTTGATCTCAACCTTCTCCCGAACGTGGCGGATACAGTTTTTCCATTCCTCTGCCGTAACTCTATTGACTGCGATGTGAAAGAGATTTTTAACATCAGAAAATTTATAAGTATTATTATTCGACGCCACGTATTGCTTTATGTTGGCCCAAATCAGCTCAATAGGGTTCAGCTCACAATGGTAGGGTGGCAGTCTCAAGACAGTTTTATTTTGTTTTTTGGCCATTTCGTCGATCATTTTAAAATCGTATTTATATTTATGTCTATTGACTATACTTATCAATTCACTCTTGACCATTGTTTCATCAAAATCGATCTGTTTTGAGGCCAGCCATTGTTGTATGTTTGCTTTTTTAGTTGCCATTGTGGGAATTTTTTACTATTTTTCTAGAATGGTACGGGGCATTATCCAGTACAATAACAGCGTTATTCTCCAGCTTTAGTAACATTTTGGAGAACCAATTTTCAAAGGAATTGCCGTCCATCTCCTCATGATAGTCCCCTGTCTTTTTTGATTCAAAGGCCCACAGTGCTTCGGGAACAAAGCCGTCTTCACTACCTACGTGACAAATGATCAGCCGTTTGCCTTTTCCTGGAAATAAATAATTCCTTACACTATTGATTAAATTTGAAGGAATGAGGCAATTGAGTTCATTTAGCTGAATTTAAGAGTCACGGAATGCTGATCAAAAACTGAAAAACGTAGAAAATTGAAGTTTGCAACTTCTCAAAACCCATTCAAAGCAAATTGACTGCACCCAAAAATGATAATAAATTTCAAAATAACGCTTAAAAGAGGGTCGAAGTTTTTTTCCTAATGACTACACTGCGAATGCACCATTTTTGGAGAATATCACACATTATCTGCTATCACAGCATATTATTTGCCCGAATTTATCAAAATTAAATTGCCAGATAGATGAAGGAGCTTACCTGCAGGATTTTTCAATCCAGCCGAAAGACCGTCTAGAAAAGCCTGCCTTGATGATGTTACTGATTTGTCGACCCAAACTTTCGCTTGAGTATGTCCAGCATTCACCCACGTTTCGTCCAAATAGTAAATTTTTCTTTTTTCATCGCGAAACTTCCGAATCTTCCTAAGGTATTCCCTTCTCCACACAACAATTTCTTCTTTCTCTATTAACATACTGTTTCTTCCCCGTTTCAAGAATCGAAAATTAAGTTCCTTCAAAAGTTTTCGGAATGTGGTTCTTTTAAATGATGGAAGATCCTCATCAGCATTAACTAATCTCAATATCTTATCTACTGTAGGTATCTCATTTCGGAAGAAAAAATTATGCACTTTCCTCCTGATGGCAGTTCTGTCGTCTACTCCGTCCGTTATCCTTTTTCTTGCAGGATACGGTTTTGGCTCAGAAAGTGAGTGAGTGCTCCTATATTCCTTAATGATCCTATAAACACTGGACCGACATACTCCAGAAATATGTGCTACCTTACATATAACTTCGTCCACGACCAAATCGGGTTTTTCTTGAATTTGGTTTTTGTATATATTCAATATTATTTGTTTTTCATTTGCACTTAAATGTAGCTTCTTAGCCCTTTTTTTGGGTGGGGTTGCGCTGATGTCAACCACTTCGTCGGCTGTATCTGTGTCAGACATCGTATCTTAGGCAATATATAAACAAAACGCTCCACTCGCGAAAAACGAGTATACGCTACTGAATGCGTAATGCGTATGCAATGCAATCCTGTGCGTGAATTAACTGTTAGATGCCTGTCGTGTCATCTACAATCACGTTTACAAGTCCAAACCTGTGCAGATT